GGCTGCCAGCCACCAGTCAACCAATTAGCATACGAAAAGACAGCACTTTGGAGATTCCAAAGATTTTAGGAGCTGTATGTCAGGGGAAGGAGGTGAAAACCAAGTAGACATTTTCACAAGAACACAGTATTTAATTTGTTATTGTAAATTCCCTGAAATAACATAACAAATTAATTATTCATGTACACTCTTTTAATGTGAACTACTCAAAATTCTGAAAAAAACTTAAAATTGATGCCATGAATCATTATTACCTTAAAATTAGATTTGCAAGCTCAGCATTTAAGAGGCTGTTCCTTTCCATTTTCCATTTTTAAAAATTACTTAAGTAAAAATTTACTTATATAATTAAACCCAATCTAACTATTACATCTTTGCACATTTAAACAAATGATTATAAATTAACAGAAACTTAATGCCAATCAATTGAATAACATGTTTTGAGTTCCTATCATGTGTTAGGACATAATGTTTGGTGTTGATTACACAGAGAAAACCAAGATGGACACAGTTCCCATCCTCTAGTAACTCACTAACTTCAAATTCTGTGATCAGTGTCAGAAACTTTGGGTCCCCTGTTAAGAATCTATGAATAGGTGATAGGATGAGACTAGCCAGAAATGCGGGTCTGAGGACATATTCATCCATGGAATGACCTCCATTACAGGAACTGTGAAAACACATTTCTGTGGGTGGTTGATGTTTTATTTCTTTCAATCCTTATCTCTGCAGTGTTTTTTCAGCATTTTAAAGTGGATCTCCCAGCCCTCCCCAGCTGGGTTCAAGTGACCTCATTTACAACACTTTGGATAAGATCCCTCAGGCTGAAAAAGGTTCTGGGGAAAGATATATTGCCTCCAAAAGCTTTTAGTTGAATGGCAGGCTCCTTACCTTAATTAATGCAGGCATAGATCCCTAGGAATAGCCTCAAATTATCATTTCCCCTATTTTCAAAATTACAAGCTTTTCATTTCTTCACATTTCATATGTGTTAGTTTAATAGATATCTCAGAAAATCTGTCCCATCTTTAGTGATACTGATTTTTTTTTTTTTAATAAGGGAACAAGCAGGATTTAGGCATAACTGTTCCACTATAGATCGACAAAATACTCTTTGTCCCTATTGAGAAAGCGGTTAAGAACAATGTGAGATCTTCTTCTTCTGATTCCTGAATCAGTTAATGTTGCATTAGGCTACAGGTAACAAAAAGCCAAATACAATGACGTAAAAAGGCTTAGTTTTTTCACATAACAAGAAGTCTAGATGAAGACAGACCAGAGCAGCTATTCAACAGTCCCATGGAGGATCTAGACGCTATCTTTCCGCACAACCATCTTTAGCTGTGAAATTCACCCTCAGGGTTGCAGGATGGCTGGAATATTGTTTGGTTCATCAATCCTGGCTGGTTTAGCAGGATAGAGTTATTCCAAGCAGCAGATCATACAATGAACTTGTTGGGGGCAGGAAGGGCTGTGTCTTACCCACCTTTACATTCCCCAGGTTCACTCAATGGTTGACTCATGATAAGTGACCTAAACTCAAAGTTTGACCTTTCTTTACTTAAATAATAGGAATGACTTAGAAATTCTCAAAGGTCCAAGACAGCCAGGAATCCCTGACAGTCACATTTTGTAAGGGAACTTATTCTTTCCGTGCTGTATGTTAAAGTTTCCCAACCAATATGCCAAAGGCACACTGACACATTTATGGTGGGTGTGGTAGAAATGTGCTGAAATACTGAACCCCTTAGCCCCGAGCAGCACATCTTTTCATCTCAGTGGGCCACAGAAACTGTACCACTGGCTATATGTGGCATGAGGTGAGAAAAGCTTGGTAGCTATGCTCTACGGCATGTAACTTTGGGGTCTCAATTTAATATTCACATGTAGATACCAAGGGAAAACTTCCTTTTCTCCCCTGAAGTTTCATTAATAAAAATCACTGACAAATTTAGATTAAGACGAAGAAAAGGCATAACAAATTTCATTATTTGATGTGCTGGGAAGGGGGAAAAGCACAGAGGAATCATGAGAGTAATGTCCCAATTTCCAGTGGGGGTACAAAAGCTTAAGTACCAGTGGTGGTAAGAGAGAGAGAAGGTGGGGGGAGTACAAGCCCCAGAACAATGGCCTGAGACCGGGTTTCTCTGAAGTTCTGGGGGGGCGGTGTCATCACAGGTGTAGAAGGAAGTAAGAAGTTAAAGTTAAGTAGAGACATCTTGTATGTAAGTGAACATACTTCAGGCAATCTCACAGCTGCCCTCAGAAAGAATAGACAGTAGCCAAAGGAGGGGCGCCTCAGAGGCAGCCTGGCTGTTTGCACATACAGATGTAAATTTCCTTCACACACACAAAAACAGACTTCTGGCTAGTCTTGTTTTTCCAGTCTTACTGAACTAGCCGTCTTGAAATGTCAAAGGAATATATTTGGGGGCCGAAATATTTTGCTTTCCCACACACACAAATCTGAATCAATATACTTTCCCAGGGAGTAAGTGCACCTTCAGTCCACTCTATAGAGCCTTCTAACAGGATGAACATAAAAGCCAGGCTTTTATTTGCTTATTTATTTATCATTATTGTGGAATAAGACAGGGTATACGTAAATAAATAAATACCTGACTTTGTAATTTTCCTAACGATTTTAACACTGCCGCCAGACCAGTGCAATATATAGGCTGTCTTTCCCATTGGCAGCACAGAAGACATGAACTTGAGACGCTCATCAGATCCCCCTTTTATGAATTACATGCTATTCAACTCTTTATCAAAAGACAGGTGAGAGGAGTGGTATTGGAAAAAGATTGACTGAGGGGCGTGTTAGGCACACTTTCATCTCACTTCCCAAAGTCCTATTCTTGTTCTGAATTAGATGAGGGAGTAACACACTCAGCTATGACTTTAGCTCCCCATGGAAATACCACCACTGAATCAGAATTCAAGACCATCTTCTTAGCTTTTATGAGCTGATTTTTTTTTTTTAATGGCACATAAAAAAACTGTTCTGAATCTTCTGCTGATGCCCTATTTAGATTGTGAGGTACTTGACAGCAGAGATTGTCTTACCCATCTTTTCTAGCTCTATCACCTAACAAGTGGGTGCTGTGACCATGAAAACATTACAGATATGTTGAATACAAGAAACAAGTGTCCAAGCAAAGTATACCAATATGTAGCAAGTTATAACTTTTTTTAAAAAAAGGAAACCCAATCCTGTGCTGCTAAAATCTGGCTTTAGATAAACTGTTTCACCCAATGTGAATAACTTTAAAACAGACTTCAAATATGTAGTCGGAACAGGCTTTGTGACCAGGTTTTCTCAAACCAAGTTTGGATAGTTCAAAAATGTCTGAAAATTGTTGTAGTGAAGAAATGGACTTTTAAAACCAGATCTGGAAAGTTATTGAAACCCGTATGAGCAAATTCATTTAGATGAAGGTGCTCAAAATACTCCATCTGTAAAAGCCACAACAAAAGTTAAAATTCTTCTTGGGGCATCTGTGAGTTCAAACAGGTCCAGAGTGGTGATTCTGCCAACTTCTGAGTCTGTAGCTGCCCTGCTGGCAGTGCAGGAAGGGTATCTCCCGTCAATTCCTGAAAGGGAATTCAGCTGCCAAATCAGGAGGGAAAAAAGTATAGAAGGCTCTGAGATTGGCACCAGAGCATAAACAGTTTCAAAGGGCTGAGAATTAAAAAAAAAAAAAAAAAAAAAAAAAAAAAAAAAAAAAACACAAAAAACCATTTTAAGGTGACTGCCAAGATTACAGTGGATTTGAATCATTATAAGAAATCTTTCATGATTAAACTTATTTAAAAATCCTGGACCAAAAACAATTCTAAAGAAAAGAACACTGTACAGGACTCTTAGTACCTAGTTACCAGAAAATCTACCACACGTGGGACTAGAAATGACAACCTTAACATGGTTTATTGCTAAATCCAGTACGCCCTGTTATAATAGGTGACTTTTATAGATACAGGGATGCACTTAAGGTCAAATCATGCCCCTAGAAAGGTAAAACTGTTGTTAGGTTGCAGAAAGTCTCTTGTAACAGGGAAATACACCGATGACCGGCCTGTCCCACACCAGTACTTCTGGTGCTGAGACCTTATGGTACTGGGGCAGTTCAGAAAATTGCATAGACATCAAGAGCCAGGCATTTCGGGTTCATTCCAACTCTTCCACCCACTAGTTTTCTTATCAGTAGATTCCCAAGAATCTCCATCCAGAACAGAAACGGGTTTGGGGAGGGGATACCAGGGGGACGGGAGCGAGGGGAACAGTCCAGCCCGGGAGGATACCCGCGGCCCTCCACGGTCCCCTCCGGGGAGCGGCCCGGCTGTCCGGCCTGCAGACTCCCCGTCGGCCCCGGCACGAGGAGGACGCGCTGCTCAGGCCGGGCCCGCGCCGCGTCCGGGTGGGGGCGCCGCGCGCGGTAACCCGGAAGTGGCGCG